TTGAGATAGTGTCTCACTATGTAGTTGAGACTGACCTGGAATTCATTATGTAGTCCAGGCTGGTCTTGAACTCAGAGCGATCCTCCTGCCTCAGCCTCCAGAGTGCTTGGATTACAGGTGTGCACCACCACCCCCGGCTCCATTTTGTTTCTTCTCTAGACAACTCCAATCTCACGTTATATACTATTTTATTGTTTCTTATCTTACAAGAACATGAGTTCTTGTTTTATTGATAATTGATTATCACGTTATTGTGTAGCAGAGGTTGATAAACTTTTTAAGTAACTGGCCAGATAATAAGTATTTTAGGGTTATAAGCTACAGTTAGAATAATAAAATTCTGCCATTAGAGTATACAAGAAGCTGTAGAGACCACTTCACCAAATCAGTGTGCCTGTGTTTCGGTAAAACTTTATTTACAAAAATAATTAGAAGTTGGGGATTTAGCTCAGTGGTTCCATCGCCTGCTTCGCAAGCACAAGGTCCCAAGTTTGATTCCCGGTACAAAAACAAAACAAAAGAAAAAACACCAAAAACCCAAAAATAATTAGAGGACAACTTATAGTGTTTTTTCCTCTGTGTCTGCTGGTGGTTTTGAGTGTAGGGAGAAGGGAAATATTTTTATTCTAAAAATAATTTTGCTGGACAGTAAGGCATTGTTATATGGGGCTGGGGATGTAGCTCAGTGGCACTGCACCTGCCTGGCAAGTGCAAGGTCCTGAGGTCAATCCCCAGTACCCCCCTAAAAAAAAAGAAAGAAAGAAAAGAAAGAAAGTAAATGAAGTTTCATTTCAGTTTTTTAAAACCTGGAAATACAGAAGTGTGTCTCTTTTATTTTGGGACACCAGTCCCATGTACTGTGGATCTGGCACTCTGCTGAGCTGGGCTGCTGGGCAGTTCCACATGACCTGGCTGATGTGTGGCTATGAGACATTAGGTCCAAAGTGTGACACAACTTGCTCAAAGACACAGAAAATACTAGTCTTAGAGATGGGCCTTGAACATAGATCTTTTTGAAAAACATGTTTTTGTTAAGGTGAAGTTCACAAAGCATAAAATTACACATTTTAAAGTAAACATGCAGTGACATTTTATACATTCACTATATTCAGCCACCACCTTTGTTTAGCTCAAAAGCATTTTTAGGAAGCTATGTTCCTGCTAACAAGTCACTTCTCATTCTCGCATCACTCCAGCCCCTGGAAGCCACCAATTTTCTTTCTTTCTGGTTCTATGGATTTATTTGTTCTGGAATATTTCATGTGAATGGAATTATACAATACATAATGCTTTGTGTCTGGCTTCCTTTACTTTGCATAATATTTTTATGTCTATCCGCATTGTAGCATACATCAGTACTTTATTTCTTTCTTTGGCTAAGAATATTTCAGTATATATGCCGTTTGTCTATCCATTTATCTGCTGATGATTATTTGGGCTGTTTGCACCTTGCACAGTTGGGACTAGTGCTCTGATGAAGTCATGTATAGACACATTTGTCTGGGGCCCTGTTTCTAATCCTTTGGGGTTGCATCCTAGGTGTAGGATTGCTGAACCATATGGTTATTCTATGTTTAACTCTCTGAGGAAATGCCAAACTTTTCCCTAGAGGCTGAACCATTTTAGATTTAAAGTCTGAGGGTTCCATTTTTTCCCTATCCTTGCTAACACTTGTTATATTTTCTGGGCTTTTTTGTGAACAGAGATTTTTGTTTTTAGTGCTGTTATCTTCTGAGGTTGTAAGATTTGTCTTACATTTTTCACTTGTTTGATTTTTGTAATTATAGTATCAGGCATATTTCAAGGCACATGATCCATTATCATTAAATATTTTATTGAGATAATTTATTCTAATAATATGGATTTTGATGCGTGTTTGCAGATTTTTGTGACAGTCTAATTTCAAAATATTGTTAAACAGAGTTAGTTGTAACTTATTTTAAAGTTGAAAAGTTGCATTTGAAATAACAGCTGAATCCCTTTAAAACACTTGTTCCAGGAGAAACAGGAAGGCCAAATGCCCATCTGCTAGGGTTGATGTGGAGGTGTTTACTTCCTCGCGTAGGGTGTTGGACAGGATGGTAGCCAATGTCCTTTCCAACTACATTTTTTAAAATTAGATTTTGAATATTCATAGAAGGCTTTCTGAGAATGTATAAAACCCTGGGAATATTATAATGCTGCATTTTAAAAGCCATGTTTGCTATGTTACCACCTTCCAGAAGAATGGGAGCTGCTGTCCAAGACTCCAACCAAGAGTACTGAGGCTCACCACTAAGTGACTTGCAGTTGGCCTCCCCCACCCGTCAGCAGAGTATTCCAGACCATCCCTGGGCCCTGGCAGTGGTTAGCTGGCCCATCTCTTCAGAATCTGAAACCTCACAAATATGCCAGCAAAACCATAAGCCAGGCTTATGGTGCCCAGGGCTGACACTGCCCCCATCGAGAGAGACGTGCCTGCCTCCCTTTTCCCTCGGCAGCTGGCCTCCAGCCTGATGCACTTGGACCCATCCTTGAAGTCACCCCTGGGTTGTTGTGAAGAAATACCAGTGCTCTGTGTGTTTTTTCCCCTTTGGCAGACAGATGGGCACCGCACACCCAATGAGGACATTTTAGAAGGGAATCTTCACTGGGGTTGACATTGAGGGCTCTCCCAAAGGAGGTGATCACAGAAAAGCCCCTTTTTAATCCGGGCTGGCACCTACCTCTCCTGATGAACAGTGCTACAAATCAAGTAGGCCTTTTGCAATATATACATATGGAATGAGGTTTATTTATGAGTAGGAAGAAACCTATAAAGAAGAGTTATTAAGTCCAGGAGGAACTGATTTATGCTATAGTAAAATTCAGACTATAGTTCAGCTGGGGAATGGCAGCCTCTGACAGGTGTCCATGAATAAATCCCCTTCTTCTGAAGCCTTTTGCTCGCCGCTGGTCAAATTTTCAGGTGGCTTTGGAATCTGCCCTTCCTGCCCTTCTTGTTTCCGTCTTTCCTTGGCAGGAGATGGGAGGAGAACCACACAGCAGCTGGCTTTGAGGAAGTCTTCGGCTTTCATCACCCTGCTGGGGCTTTTTGGAGCCCTAATACTGAGCTGTTTACCTTCTGGCTGTTGGAGATGGGCTGGGAGATCTGAGGAAGCCAGGGTAGGTGTCAGCAGAGATACCTGGTTTCTGTCAATAAACACGCAGAATCGCAGCATCCCCTGGAGCTGGAGGCTACAGAGTCCTGCCTTTCAAGACAGTTGGGAGGAACTGTTTAATGAGATTTTGGCCTCTAGCAGCCATGGCCTTTAAGAAGCTCAACATACTCAGATATTTGGTCCATAACTGCACCTAGGGATGCAGCGGTGGCAGTCTGTCCTCTGTGGATGCACACAAATAGGGCTTCCTCAGCTGCCAGACTTGTCTGCATTCAGGTGGGGCACAATGTCCTTCCGGCACCCACTGCAATGGCTTGTGTCTGCATGGATAATTGCTCAGAAAACACAGACTGGCTTCTGTTAAATGGAATTGTGGTTCTGAATGAATAAACATGGCTAGGACTGATCCATCTCCCATCTGTCTGTCTGTCTATCTATCTATCCATCTATCATCTGTCATCTTAATACCATTACTTATTGTCTAACTCTGTATTTTTTAACACACGTAGAAATACAAAGTCCATGACCAAAGTCCCATTATAAAACCAGATCAAATGGAAATTTGTGGTTAACTACAATCCTTTCTTTTTGAAAACAACTTGATATATACTTTCACTGATAAAATCCGTGGTGAATATCATACATATAGATGCCCCTTAAGAGGCGTCAGGTGACCATCATATTAGCCTGCTAGAATCTTGCATCTGCATTCCCACAGGGAAGGATTAAAATGCACAAACCCCATCTACTCATGTCTCTGAGGCTTTTGTGAGAAAGGATAAGAGGTGGTCTTGATTACTCCAAGCATCTGCTCTCAGTACTCTCAAACATCAGTCCAATAATGATGCCCCATCCAGAAAGAATGGAAGAGTCTGCGTTCTGGTGTATGGGGACGGGAGTGCTGACTCTAGGACCTTGGCCTGGTCATAGTTGATCAACTCTCAGAATGAGCCATTTCTCCAACTCTTCTTCTCACTCCGAGGAAAGCTAGGAAGTCACTACAAATTCTACTGTTTCTGTCACTCAGAACCAGAGAAGGGAGGCCTTTTCTGTTCTCAACTATAAACTCAGTATGAGAGCAGAAAATGTGCATGACTCCCATGTAGGAGTCTATTCCCTAGGAGTAAGAAAGAGAGATACAGATCCACGGTATGAAACAAAATGGATAAATCCACAGAATTCTAGGTCGTAAGCACAGTTTTGAATGTGTCTAGCAGGTGTCCTGTTTCCATCTGTGAAATGGGGAAAACTCAGACATAAACCATTTCCCAAGCACCTTTTGGGTATCTTTGCTCCTATCTAAATCCACTGAGCAGATCATCTGCAGTTCTTGGTCTCCGGTAATCTTTCTGTAGCCCCCCAGGCACAACTAAACTCCTCTCTTGTTAAGAGCCTCTATGTCACTCATTATCTCTTCTATAACATCTCACATGTAGTTGTTTTTCTCTTAAAGTTTCTCATGTTTAAGTATTAATATTCCAGCGATGGTGAGAGCAGACTCCTGTCACATATTCCTATCTCTAAATGCCCTGTGATCCTTCATCCATGCTGGGTATGGGATGAATGAGGTGTCGGTCTTGGTCTTGGCACTGTCCCTCCATGGTCAGAGGTCTGAACTGCATCAAATACAACCCATTGTTCTCATGAAGGCCCTGCTCCATTGTGGTAGGAAGTCTCCGTGCTAGGAAGATGGGATTAACAGTGATGTGCTTGCCTTGTGAATGATACAACTCTCTGCCACATTCCTAAACCAGGCTCTTGCTTGGAAGGGTGCCAGAGGACTATCAGCGAGAACAGAGGTGCTGGAGTGCATGAGCAAAGGGAAGAAGAATGGTGAAGATAAGGTCAGAGAGTTCCTCAAAACCAGGCTGTGGTGGGCTTTATATTGGATTCTATGTAGCAGAAACTTCTGGAAAATTTTGAAGAGGGGAGCGATTCTATGACCAGTCTTAGAAAGAACTCAAGAGTTCTTTCCCCTTTACTCTTTCCCAATCTTCCAGGATCTGGGTAGCTTGGGTAGAGCAGCAGCCCCTTGCTTTCATTCCTATCTCCACAGGCCAGTGGTTCACCAAGCACAAAAGCGATGCTCTGTGGGAAAGCCCAGTCCCAGGAAAACCACATTAATTCATTTTGTTTTCTAACCCATCCTTTTTGTGATTGATTGCATTATTATTTTTTGTTGTTGTTGATGCTGGCATTCACACATCCCCTTTAAATATATGGGGTCTTTGAACTGTTTGGAAGGATTTCCTCTGGAAAGGAAACTTTTTCTAAATCCGTACACACTATGTTACTAAAACCAGCATGGACAGCCAACCAGAGAGGTGGAAGGTAGCCCTGGGATTTTAGTGGAGGATACCGGGGAGGGTAGCCGGGAAGAGTACAAAGAGATGCATTTCATCAGTAGAAATTTCAAGTGCCACTGGAGGCGTTGCGGCTGTACGTCCTTCTGCACAAGATGTGAGGAGCCGAGACCTCTGCCTGGGAGCCTGTGCAGCTCTAGGAAGACGAGCTATGCACAGACCTCTCCACCAAGGCCAACAGAGTGTTTCTGCCTCCCGACTCTGCTGCTCTCCTCTTCATCACTTGATGGCCCAGTGGCCTGGCAATCTCTCCCCTTCAGCCCTGGCAGGGATAGCATTCTTTAGAGGCGAACTTACAGTTTAATTTCTAGGCTCACCCAGGCATGCACTGGGCCACATAGGTTCCGATAATGAAATATTGGTGGCGCATATTTGATAGTGTTCCCTACGTGCCTGGACACAGCCTCAGTGGAGAGAATGCATTCCCATGGGGGGCTGCACCTCGTCTGTCTGGGGCTGGGGACGGGTGGGGGTTCGGGACTTGGCTTGCTGAGTTCTTCGTGTCCACATGGAAGCCCCTCCTCTAAGTGAGGGACCTTGGTTCCTTCTGAGCCTCCTCCCCTGGGCAAATGTGCAGGGATGGGGAGTCAAGAAGAGAGAAAAAGAACTGTTCCCATGTCTCACTCTGCTTTAAACGGAGATCCTACAGAGAATGGTATTTCTCTCACTGCAGTTTCCCAGTGACAATGGGGTCAAAGAAAGCATTTTTCAAAAAGAGCTTCTCTTCTCAATTTATGGCGGAGCATCCAGTAGCAAGCAGCAAAATGAAATAGGTCTCTGTTATCTCTCCCCAAAAAAGAGACAGCCCGTACAAGGGAAAGAGATAATTCCCGTCTGGCTTTTATATGCCTCATAAAATGCATTGTGCAGGCATGTAAAATATATGGGACTGGGCAGGCACATGAAGTGTGGAAAGGTACGGCATCCGGCTCGGCCCACTTGTGGAAGACAGCAACGCGGAAGGCTTTTCTTTTTTTTCCTTTTTGAGACTAACATTATGGACAATGAGAAGTCCACAAACGTAGTGTTTGTATTGATTCCCCCTGGCAGATGAAAACAGGGAGTATAAAAATTAAGCAGAGGATAATACTATGAAAAATACTTCCTTTTTTCTCTCATTTCTCTCATTTGTGTCTCAGCTCTTGCCGTGCTGGGACACCGCTCACACCATGCTAGTGCTTGGGAGAAGGGTCCCTCCTCTCCTAGGATCTTACTGTATTTTTTCTGTCTGGTGAGCTTCTGTTCGTGGCATTTGTCTCATCACATAAGCCAACTGTGCACACACATGTGTATTGTGTCATTTCGGTCCCTGCCACTCAAGGGACTTGCTGTTGGTGTTCTCTTTGGAAGTAACCTTGTGAGCACTTATGACAAATATGCAGCCGACTTGGGGGTGCAGAACTTGGGATGTGCTGCAGGTGCCTGGGACCTGTATTAGATGCCTGATCTGTACAATGCCTCCCAGCATGTTCTCTCCACTTCAGTCAAAGGGAACTGAGGAAGTTTAAGTGGCGAGGCCCATAGTTTGGATCTGTAAAATTCCTCCAAAGTTCCGTGTTTTTCTTTGTAGCAGTGTTGGTAGGCGATGGACCTTTTGAGGAGTGAGACATCACAGGAAGTCCTTAGGTCCATGGAAGCATATCTCCAAGGGGATTAGAGGACGCCAGCTCCTTCCTCACTCTTATTTGCTTCGTGGTTTGTGATGCCAGCAAGCTTGTGTGCTCCTCCCGTGATGTGCTGACTGAGGATAGCTGCTCTTGAAGTGTAACCTGAAAACCATGAGCCAAAATAAACCCTTTCCTTTCATAAGTCAAGTATTTTGGGTGGTTTGTTATAGTGATGGAAAACTAACTAAGATGGTGATACACAACAAATTATCCCCAAGGATTAGCTGAGAAATGAGGGTTTTAGAAGGAAAACAGCTGGTTTCTGAGAACAAGGCCAATAGGTTTGGGACTGAAGTGTCTGTTTTCAGAACTAAAATCCAAGGATGAGGACATCCAGGTTCCTGATTCAACAGAGAAGCGTGGTGATGATGGATGAGAGAATGAATAGACATTTTTGCCTCCTCCTTTCTTCTTTCTCTTTATCTCTGCTTCCTTTTCTTCCTTGCACATGTAATTGTGAGAAATCCACATGCACAGACCCCTATACTGTGATTCAAATGCAGTGCACTCAAGTCTTGTAGGGATCAATGTTTATTTGATTCTTTAAATCTCTAATACAGTGATTCCCCAAAGTAGGCAACTTTGCATAAGAGCAATTTACAGTGGCTGTTTGCTCTGGTTTGAATTTGTCTTCAAAGTTTCTGTGATGGAAACTACTTACTCCCCAAATCCATATGTAAGTGATATTTGGGGCAACTAGAATTAGATGAGGTCTTGGGGTAAAGCCCCTCATGATGTCATAAGTGTCTGTAGAAGAGGAAGAGAGTCCTGAGCTGCCACACTGTTCTGTCTTGCTGCCATATGGTTCCCTCTTCCACGTCATGATGCAGCCTTACCAATGCTGCAGATGCAGACACCATGTTACTGGACTTCCTAAACTCCAGGACCATGAGCCAACTAAAGCTTTATTCTTTATAAATTCCCAGGTCTTGGATGTTTTGAGATGAAAATAGAAAGTGACTTTAGGTCAACAGCATTGGAATATCAAAGGCTGGAGTCTAGTAGTATGTATTTTTAAGGTTACATGGGTTTTCTCATGAGCAGTCAGTGCGGAAAGCACTGCTGTACTCCACTTCTGTGTTCCCAGAAGGTGTCAGCTGCTCCAATTCTGTATAAGGGCCAGGATTTGCAATAGGGCAGAGCTTGGTTCCATAAAGTGCAAGAATTGTCAGGTGCAGACATTCCCCCAGACCAGGCTCTTCACTTCCAGCATGCATAGGACAGGGGCACTGAGTTTTCAGGGGTTAAGTGTGACCACAAGTAATAATAAGTGCAAATATGATTCCTACGTCACAGTGGGTCCTGCTCTCTGTCC